GATTGCGTTGTATTTCGTCATGGGAGTGAGGTTACCGGAGGCCCAATTACTCTCCACCCACCTCAATCTCCCCAATCCCTGAATTCCAAACAATCCTCAAATTCATAATCCCTAAATGGCTGGTAAAGCACTTGTCACGCCTCTCGTGTTCCGGGTGTCTATGGGCGACGCCGATTGCTTACCATCAGGTGATCTTCAAGATCACTTACCAGCTCATGCCATAAAAAAAACAATTGACAGCTCCTTGTGTTGACCACCTGTCTGTAGTAACAATTGTCAAGGTATGACTTAATATAAGAGGTACACATAGCCACACATCAATCTATACGAAACCAGTTTATCCTGGTGTCGCGTCGCATCATCTTTCCGCACATTTAAAGTTCAGTTTATACTGGTTATGTAAAGCTCGATGTGTAGCCGTGTGTACCTTAGTATATTTATAAAGTTATTGTAACTGTTTAGATAACAATGTTATCCAAGAAAATATTCATATAAGTATCTACGTTTAATCATAATAGGTTTTAGCGAATAAGTGAGTCAACAATTAGGTATCAGGAATATACTAAAAAACCCACTGGTTGTAGTGGTTATTTTGATGAAAAAAATTCAAATTAATTTTATTTAGGTACTACGTAGCGTAGGTTGCGTATAATTATTGTGTATAGATACACTTTTTGTATTAAAAACCCAGAGGTATTTGTTAAAAACTGTGTAATAAATACATTGTAACGTTTTCCTAGTACATAGTCTTACTTTAGTATTGAGTGTTGACCACATTCGGCTAACGGAGTTAATATCTATATTTTCCATGGAATGAATAGTATCTACAGCTTTACACTCCTTAACTATCAACATTTTTAAGGGTACTTCTTTTTTATTAATCGTCAGAAGCGAAATCTGCAACAAAAAGGATGAACACCGAAAGACAAGCTATCTACTTGGCCATCTAAAAATAACTATCTGTAGTTTCTAGAAAAAAATACGATATTTAAAATCCGAACGTCCGCCATTGTTCTCACATTGATTGACACTAGCCTAGCGTATCTGATTACGGAAATATTAACTTTATACAGTTCACAATAAAATCCATAATTCGGAATACGATATGAAATATTTAAAAAAAAATGTAATCCAAACTTGCCCTCTCTTTGTCAACGGATACCATTCGTTCGAATATTTTCTTTTATAAAATATTCATTTCTGATTTCCACGAATAGTCGGCTATCGGAACTTTTGTTGCAGTGTTCGATTTATCTTTATTCATATTGCTTTTAATTATTTTTCCTTGTATTTATTGTTACTTATTAAGTACGAATTACAGTTTAATTATACCCGAAACCGAAGAGGTGCGCATGATGTGGATAGATAGATATACAATAGTCACCTTTCAGCACTGTAATAGGCAAATTCTATGTAATATGGCAGGTACAAGCTTACTGCTATACTCTTAGAACAAACAGCAAAACTTGACCTGAAAATTAAGTGTGCAACTGAGGTTTCCAGAGGAAGCTTCACCTTAAAAGCCTGTCCGGCTCAATTGTAATTCCTCTGGTGCTGTAAGGGTCACGAACGGCGTTTATTGCCTATCATCATGGTGATACATCTGTGATCTGCTCGTCATTATTATCATCATCATCAATATCATCAGCCATAAGATGTCCACTGCTGGACAAAGGTCTCTCTCTTAATCCACGTCGGACGACAGCTCGCCACTTGCATGCAATGCCTTCCCAAAACTGACAAAGGCCTCAGTATACCTAGACTACCCAGAGTGAGTCCTTTTTGGTGGGGGGGGGGATCATCAAATGTCTTCTCGCGTCTTGAGCATAGCGAGAGGGAGGGACTCTTAAAATAAATAAAATAAAAAAGCCTTTTATTTACTAATTTACAAACAATTAAAACAAAATTTTTCGTTTACTTTACATCCTTCTCGTTTACGTTTGTTAAGACTTGTAGTAAGAGCCCCTCGCTTTACTCGAAGGTGAAGGCCTCCTCTAGCGCTTTCCATTTATCCCTGTTCTTCGCGATATTCATCCAATGTTTGCCAGCCACTTGGAATATGTCGTCTCTCCACCGCGCGTATGGTCTGCCTCATTTTCTCGTGCCTGCCGGGCCTTACCAAGAAGTTAGGACTAAAAATCACCCTGTTCCTATTTCTGCACTTCGAGCCGGAGCCCCGGCAAGCGGAATCCGGTCTTCCGATCCATGGTTTGAGCTTGAGCATTCCTGGCCTTTAAGCCGTCAGTTTTTCGAGCAATGTGGCTTGCTCAATGCCACTTCATCCTGCAAAGTCCTGTGATCTGTTCATCTCATATATATAAAATCTTGACTACACTCCATTAGTGTGAACTTCGAAATCGAACTATAATGCTTAGTACCGAAGTATAATTTTCAATCAAAACGAATGAATTCATTCGTCTTTCGATAACAAAACTGGCGTCGAGTTTTCAACTTTTACTTTAACGATAGAAAATTTAAATTTTATATGAGCAACTTGAAGTGACGTGACAGTGATTTGAATACATCGTCATGGACATATTTTTTTCTTTCTTTTTAAAGCGACGAATACTTTCATAGTAGACTTGGTTCCTATATTAAAGAAGAGTAGTATATGATTGGGCATTCTGGATCACTTTTCGCTCGGCGAAACAAGTTCGCACTCGCGGTGGTCCAGAATGCCCAATCGTCAACGGTCGATTCGGTTAATGTTAGTAACGCAAAATACATAGTGGTACGGTTTATAAATATTAACATACAAAAAATATTTGTCATTATTATTCGAACTGTTTCACACAGTAAGCATGAAATTTGTAAAACAACCACAATCGTTGAATATTAACATAATATGTGATGAATTTTGTAAAACTGATTTCCGTCACAGTGAAAAGTTGTCCAGAATACCCAATCATATACTACTAAGAAGATAGTGGATATCTTTTAGGGTTATAACCATACTATTTTTAATAATGAGTATTTCAGACATTTTATCCCCGACAGAACAGACAGAAGTACACATAAAGTATGCGATTCTCGCTTATTTCACTAGTTACGTTGAGTTCCATGTTATTTGGGAGTTGAGCCTGGGGACTGGGATAAAATCCAAACTCCGTATCATAACTGAGAACAGTTCGATAACCCGAAAATCCTCAATAGTTGTTCTTTTGACCGTTTGACCATTGAAACAAGTATAAAACATACAATAACAATTTAATATCAACAAAAATCAGAAAAGAATCAAGAACACACGAGGTACATGTGTAAGAATCTAATTACTACAAGATTTATTATTCATAAACAACATTACGTTATTTCCGTTGGAGTTTTTCCTTATGACACCATCTAACGTCATTAATAGCTTTACCAACGTAAGAAAGGTTAGTTTTGCGCACAGACAGGCATAAATGTCATCTATACTAATATATAAAGCTGAAGAGTTGGTTTGTCTTCTAGTTTCCACGCGCTAATCCCCAGAACCGTTGGTTCGAATTTGAAAATTCTTTTTATGCTGGATAGATCTAGGATATTGATGGCAAGCGAGCAGACGGATCACCTGATGGTAAGCGATCGGCGCCGCCCATGGACACCTGTAACACCAGAGGAGTTACAGGTGCGTTTAAAAAGGAATACGCTCTTTTCCTGAAGGTTTGAAGGTCGTATCGATACGGAAATACCGCCGACGACAGATCATTCCACAGTTTTGCTGTGCTATGGGCTATATAACACCACGCTATAATCAACAGGAACTGTGTGGGAGGACCTAGTATACTGCTAAAGATAAAGAATTCGCTTGTTCTCTTGTTTCAACTCACCAATCTCAGGAAGTGCCGATACGGTATCGCGGAGAACTTAACGGGTTACCGGGACTCCGGCTCGAAGGCCAGGAGTAGGAACGGAGTGATTTATAATCCATAAGAGTCTCTCCCTCTAGCTTCCCTTAAGACGCGAGAAGTCATTTGATGACTTTCCCCCCTCAAAAAAGGACTCCCTCTAGGCCTTTGTCAGTTTCGGGGAGCCATTGCATGCAAGTAGCAGCTCCGGCTCCTCCGGCTACTCCGGTTCTAAGCGCAGGAGTAAGAACGGGATGGTTTTTAGTTGGTAAGAGTCTGGCACTCCCTCCCGCCTCATCCAGGCGGGAAATTTCATTCAATGATGTCCCTTAAAAAAAAAATCGGAAGTACTTGTTTCGTTTGACGATCCTTTTTATGTTGGGTAGTCTAAATACAGAGGAAGGCTGTAAAATAATAATCTATGATCTATAAGAGCCGAGCGATGGGTGGAGCCGCGCAGGAGTAACTAGCTAGCTAGATATAAGGAAAATTGTACACAAAAATATTTGTAAAGTTAATCGCTTTGGCATTTAACTCAAATCGTAACTGAATTAAACTGGTGTCGTGTTGTTTTAAGACTTTGAGGAAATTATAAGGATGTTTGTATGTGAATAGACCTACTTTTACTTGGTTAAGGAAACTTTTTAGTTCAACTATTGATACATGCAACTGATGCAATTTCGTGCAATTGTACAGTAGACTGTTTGATGTGTAAAAGTTTTGTTTTATCTTGTTTCCACGCCCTAATCCCCAGAACCGTTGGTTCGAATTTGAAAATGTTTGTTAGTCCTTTTATCAGGAAAGGCTGTATGCTATAAAACATCATGCTGCAATCAGTAGGAGCAGAACAGAGAAGGTTAAACCGCGCGCTTCTTCTAGAGCTAGCTTCTGCCAGTAGCTTCGCCCGTGTTCCTGAGGGATAAAAAGTGGCCTATGTGTTGTTCCAGATCATAATGTACCCCTATTTCAAATGTTATCCTTACGGTTTAGCGGTTTTGACGTGAAGCAGTAACAAACACACAAACAGACAAGCGTTAGCATTTTATTAATATTATTATATACTTAAATGCGAAAGGGTATGCTACTCAACTCGTCTATTTTATACCGTAGTTGGAAGTGTAAAGGTAGATTTTTAAATAACCCTAACAGTTTTTTTTTTGTTTCAGTGTCAAAATGACACCGAAATCGAACAGCTGTTGCGGGATCAACCTCCGTCCACTATGCTTCATGATCGGATACTTGCACCTGGTAAGATTTTTACTATTGCATATACTACTTTCTCTAAACCATCACACACACACACATACAATATTATATACTAAAACTGGCTCTTGCCCCCGACTTCGTTCGCGTAGAATATGAATTTTAGAACATAACTATTTTTGATAAATTTTCCAAAATGAAAGTAGTCTATTTTACTCCGTAGTACATCTGTCCCGACAAAATCGGTACAGCCATTTTAGAGATTGGCCAATACAAACAGACAGACGGACAAAAATTGTAAAAAATGGTATTTTGTTATAATTATGTATCGTATGCATGTAGTAAAAAGTGGTTATTTTAATATTACAACCTGAGACTCTGATCTTATTTATCTGTATAGATTTATGTGGGTAAGTATATATAAAACGTTAACCACAAAGTGATGGGCTCGCTGCCATCGCAGCGGTAAATCCCCTCTTTGAGGAGTGGCTTGAGAGACGCTACGGCGTCCTCACCTACCGCCTGACGCAGGTCCTCACCGGACATGGCAGTTTCGGGAGGTACCTGTGTCTGATGGGGCGGGAGGAAACGCCCGGGTGTCATCACTGCGAGGACCGCCCTGAGGACACGGTGGAACACACGGTGGGAGAATGCCCTTCGTGGGCTGAGCACCGCCGTGTCCTCAGGGAAGTGATCGGCGATGGCGACCTCTCGCGTCCGGGCCTAGTGCAGGCCATGATGCGGAGCGAGGGGGATTGGGATGCCGTCTCCTCCTTTTGCGAAGCAGTCATGCTAGCTAAGGAGGAGGCGGGACGCGTGAGGCAGCGAAGCGCTGCCTCCTCGCAACCCAGCCATCGCGAAGGACACACCGGGCGTCGGGGATCGCGGGACGATCTCCGGCCACCGTAAGCGCGGGCCTGCGGACGGCGAGCATGGGTGGCTCCCCGTCCGACCAGAAACAGACCCGAGCGTACGGCGCGTCGCGTTCCGCGCGCGCCTCAAAGAGCCATCAGACCACCACAGATGGGGCCCAATAGGGCCGATGCCGATTCGTAGTCGCGGAGAACCTAACGGGTAACCGGGGCTCCGGCTCGACGTGCAGGAGAAGGAACGGGGTGGTTTTTAGTCAGTAAGAGTCTGACACTCCCTCCCGCCTCACCCAGGCGGGGGCAGTCATTCGATGATTTTCCCCCCTTAAAAAAAAAAAAATAAAAAAAAAAAAAACACAAAGTGAAGAAAGCTGTCATTTGTTTTGTATGCAGCGATAGTCTACTTTTACTAACTTGTATGTTGTGTATAGTTTAGCATGGCATAACAATAGTATCATTGCTTACGCCGACAGGTGGTAATCAAAACCAAGCTTTATTTTCTTAAAAGTAAGGAATTAAATGTGTCTTTTACGTAAAAATAGTTGTAATCAACCGCTCAAGGCTGATGTTTCATGAATAACAGGAAAGCAGAAACTATTAAAATTGTAAAAATAATTCCTTATTTGTCAGTGTTTACAACCTATGTATACATTTAGGTACATATATATTTTACTATTATGTGTAAATCTTGTTACGATTCAGATCACCAGAGATAATAGGGATGATGACTGTGTATGAAAATTAAAAATCTAATTAGTCCGTCAGTTAGGCAATGAAAAAATATAAGACGCGTATTTTTTTTATTTTGTCGTATACGAAAACAATCCTTACTAATATTATAAATCGGAAAGTGAGTTTGTTTGTTCCGCTTTGACGCCGTAACTCCTAAACCTATTGCTTTGAATTTTTGCAGACGTAAAGTTAGAAGTCTGGATTAAATAATAGGGTACTTTTATCCCGAAAAAATTTGATATTCCCGAGGGAAATTAAAAGTATTGGTATAGATGGCGCTGTGTGTATTGGTATATGTCACATAGGCTCCTTTTTATCCTTTTGTGACGCGAGCGAAGCTAGTACCTACTAAGATAAAACGAATCAAAGTTTAGGAGTGGGAGGTAGCTACCTCTACGTCATTTTAGAGTACCTATAAATCGTACTCAAAAGTGACGTCATGCGATATTTCAAATCAATATATCTTCGAAACTATTCGTTCCCGTAAGAAAATAAAAATACGTATATAATGTTTTTAAATAAATACATATAGATTCAAGTAGCTCTATCTGTATTATACGAAAGAATGCAAATAATTCTTATTTGCCCTTAAAATAGAATACTCTAGTCATTTGTGTTGCTTTGAATTTGCATACAAAGACTAAAATATAACAAACATTCTTGTATGTTGGTTAGAATTCCGTATATGTAGTCTGTTTATACTTGGGCACTAATAATAGTAATCCTTAGTAAATAACTTGTTATAGATAGCATTAGTAGAAGTAGGTACTACCGGGTAAGTTCTTTGTTTAGCAAATCGATGGCATTATTGTTATAAGACCCCTTTTTAATGTCATCATTATATTTATTCTGCCCGTATTCACAATCTCTCTTTTTGGCCTTTTCATTAACAAATTAACAATTTATTGTTGTAGTTGACAAAATATATGATCAAATAACATCCTACCACAAAATTCTTTTTCTTTTTATAGATTTTCTCACACTATAGATGAATTGTGTAAGATTTTTTTATGGATTTGTAGGCAAACTAACAGACGGATCATATGTTTAGCGATCAGCGCCACCTATGGACACCCGCAACACCAGAGGAGTCACAGAAATGCAATAGAAATGCAATCTTTTTGGTTTGAAGTCAAGAATGTATTTCTTTTTCGATTGTCTCTGTAATAATAAATGTAATCAGGAATTGCGACCGATAGTTGGTACCTTATCTATATCACTAAGACCAATAACTTGATTTTAAAAGGCGTCTTGTGGGAGGAAAACGTAAGCCTTTTAGGGCATAAGACGCGTGTCAGGTCAGTTTGGGGTCACACCAAATTTAATTAATTCAACTCTCAACTAGTTAGGGGAGGCAATGACAACTCGTCTTCGGACTTAGACTGTTTGAGACTCAATTGACCCATTCGATCAAGTGTATAATCACTATTAGCCTATGGAATAGGCCTAGCAAATTTGTCAATAATTATATAGACCTCGTTCCGATTCAACGCTTCGAAACGATCGAACGCGAAACGTTGATACAGTTTAATGATGTGCTTATACTAGGGTTTGCTCGTGGCTTCGTATACTTGTAAGAACTTGAGTTTCTTTTCATATCGAAAGAAATTTTGAGAAAAAATTATCTAAGTGATTCTCTGGACTCCCCAAGAAAGTTATCTGTGAAATATCAGCCTATTATGGTAAATAATTATGGTTTTATATCGTCTGTCAGTCGCTCAGTCCTCTATCACTAGTAGAAAAAAGCAAGAAAGCTAGTATATATAGTTTTGTCCAAAATTGTGTTCACGTTCGAGTAGAAATTGCTCATAAAAATCCCTTTTAATACTCTCCTAGATTCCCCAAACGACCTACATGCCAAATATCTTCCGTGTCAACTGTCGAGAGTTTCATATACATGCGTATTGATTGTCAATAATAATTATATGGAGACCGCATTCGGCCAAAGTAATCGAACCGATCATTTACCCGTCACATTGACACAGCTCAGTACCCCAATATACTAATCTGCTCTGATTATGAAAGGACGGGCGATCCATACCCGCGGGAATTTCAGTTTCCAAATTGAGTTTTAGTGCAATCTGTTGGCTAGCAATTAAACTGTCAGATGTAATCAAAAACTAGTTTAGATTGTAAAAGTTTTTGGATAAAAATGTTGTTTAGTGACCAGAGTGTAAAGGATTGCGGTTTTTGACTGGTTTGTTTTTGCGAATACCCAGTTTATTTAATATTAGTTATAATTATTCATTGTGGATGTATGTATGAAGGTTATAAACTCATTACGCGAGCATGAGGAGAATGCGAATTCGATATAGAGTGACCTATTCTCTATTTTAAGTAACACTCTCAAGTGACACTCTTGGTGTCATACTCGTTCATAGGAAATAGGATAATTTCCTAAATTTTATTTTAATGTCCGTCTGGTACATTAATTTAAAACTTTAGACACGTATTTTTTTTCTCACAAAATTATATACTTTCGACAATAGAGGTATATTAATTTGAAATATCGTGTGACGTCATAGCGTGCCACATTTTGTAGCACGTTATGACGTAACGACTTCCCACTCCTAAACTTAGCGCCATTTTATCGAAGTATTGCAACTTACTACGGGAAAATAAAAAATACGTGTCTAATATTTTTTCATTATTTAACTGACGGACTAATTAGATTTTTAATTTTGCTACCCTGGAAACTACCCAATTGTTACGTCTTTCTACCAACTGAAGTATAAGTTAGTCTGCAACCTCAATCATATAAATATTTCATTATTTTCAACACCATTTTCTACAGTCATCCAGTTACTACTACTTCTTATAAAATCACACCATCTCTTCGCCTTACTAAACCAAGTTCTAAAATACCTAAACTCTGTTCTAAGAAACTGCCATCTGCCGTTTAATTACAACGATGAAATAAAGGGCCGGATGTGGCATCGTGTATTGTTGTCCGCATTATAAAGCGGCTATCGAGTTGCACCTGACGCATTATTCCACGAACTTTGTACCGCGTTTTATGTTGCAAATTGTGTACTTCAAACAAGGAAACATGGGCTTTTTATTATAGCGTAGTTAAATAATGAGAAAATGGATATTGGTAATGGGGAAGTCCCTGAATTATGTCTCTAGGTTTCTCATCATCATCAACAGCCTATAAATGCCCACTGCTGAGCAAAGCCTCTTCTCACACGGAGAAGGTTAGAGCATTAATCACCACGCTTGCTCGTTGCGGGTTGGCGATTTCAAACTTATAATTAGAAATTATAAGTCCAGGTTTCCTCACGATGTTTTTCCTTCACCGTTTGTCAGTGGTGTCTAAATAATCTTAGAAAGTACATATAGCTCGGAAAACGTCACATTGGTACTTGCCATTGGTAGGTTTCGAACCCGCACCCTCATGCATGAGAAGTGGGCGTCTTAAACCTCCGGGCCACCACGACGTCTCTAGGTTTCTGGTCTTAAAATATGTATCATCGTATATTTCTTTTTGACTTTTATCTATTGACTGCCTCGTTGGGCGAGTGGTCGCAAGTGCGACTACCGGGCAAGGGGTCTCGGGTTCGATTCTCGAGTCGGGCAAAGTATTAGGAGGTTTTAAAAAAAATCTCAGTTGTAGCACGGAGTCTGGAATTGTGCCCGTTATATGGCAATAGGCTCACCCCCTATTACATGGGACTCATAACATAAATAGTGAAACGTGGGTGTTATATTGTACAGTGGCATTAAGTGCCGTAATATGCCTAACCTACATACTTGCATACATAAAATATTTGAAATACTATATGTACGTTTAAGCCATCTAGCTACTTATCGAACTTGTCCTTAGTAGGCATAATATTCTTTAAGGATACATAACAGTGTCAGTATGTATTACATCTAGAGAAAGGAGGAAAATGTCTTAAACACAACGATTTCTAATCAGAAACACCCACTTGCATGACATGACATGACATGTTTGACTCATATTCATAATAAAACGTCGTTCAATTTAAAAATAAAATTCTCGAGGCAATTTCTTGTTTAATATCTACAAGTTCATATATTTGAAGCGGAGAATGATGATAAAAATAATTTCCTGTTTCGTCGCGTTTGTTAAGGAGGTAACATACTGTTGAATGGCTCATCTGCTTAGCTTGCTTCAGTGGGCCAAAAGTTACAGAGAAATATAGGTACTACGGTATGATGTTTTTTTAAAAGAAGATTGTAATTGGTTTCATTAAATGTAAGATTTTAACTTTATTATATTGTAAAATTTAACTTTGCATGACAATAGTAGGCGATGTATGTGGGATTATTTTTTTAAAATTATTATTACCTATAATTACCATACTTCGTGCAAATAAACGTTCTTATTCTTATTCTTATTCTAAAGATTTTGATGTAAAGGATTGTGCATATGTAGTTTTGAATCTGTCAGTTTTAAATATATATTCGATTGTTCTTTTAAAGTCACCTAGATATGATAATACCACGTCACCACCTCTCTAATCCAGGGTTTATCTTGACATTGTATTGATATAAATCTAGTTAGCACAAATATGTGGTTCATTTTTTTTAATCTTAATTTAATAACCAGGTCTTTTTTCCTTAGAGGAAAATGTCAGCCCTATTATAGGATATAAAATTCAATACAAAAAATAAAGCAGCTAAACCGTTTATAGGATTAACTATCCCTTAAGCTCAAACACAAAATAATTAAACTATACAATTTTCTAGCCTCAGAAATATGTGGCTCATGATAGTGCAAAATGTGTGAAAATTTAAATATTTTTTTATAAGAAAGAAAGTGCTACAGGTAAGTGAACCTGTTTTAGCAGACATAGCTTTGAAGCAGTGTGTGAGCTCCTTAAGCATGTCAGTAAATTTTTCTAACCGCAAACCCACTTCACGAACACCTATACATATAAATGTGCACACACACATACATTGTTGAATGTTAATAATTATTATGCCCCATTAAAATTACATTAACTTTTGTTAAACCTAATAATGCAGTAATGGTACAGGTGGTGGTACTGATAAATATTTGTATTTTATACATACAGGTAGAACTATGCCAGCTGGTAGATTCAATGTACCCAGAGTCATCAACTATTTTGGTGATACAACACTAAAAAAGAGAATACCATATCTATTGTATAGTTTGCCGGCAGACATAAGCAGTGAAACAAATTCAAATAGGTTTCAACGTAAATTAAAGTAATATTACCTAGAAATGTATTGAATTGTATATAAGTTTTCTATATAATATTTATAAGTACATTTAATTGTAATTGTCAAACCATTGCAACAGTTTTGTGGGGTTTAAATTATAACATACTTACCTGTGAGACTTAAAAATAAATAAATAATAATAAAATAATAAGGTGTCCCTGAAGTTTATGATCAAATGGGACTAGGTGATCGAAAAGGTTCCAATAGTTGTCAAAAAAATATATAAAAAATCTCATATAAAACAACATGCTTTATCTACTTATGATTAATCATTCGTAATTATGATGACTCACCCCCTATAACATGGGACTCATAACATTTTAGGGAACAGAGAGTATAGTTCCCTAAGATCGGAAAAGGATCCTCCGACCAGGCGAGGTGATCGTGCCTGGCGGGCTTTCTGCCCAACAGTTGTTCGTTGGGATTTTCTATCCGTGTTTATTCGCTTGTAAACTTTGCATGTGCGATGTAGGATTCTTGTGACGTCATCCGTTGACATGTGGCATGCGTCGCCACAACATAAATATTGAAAAGTGGGTGTTACATTGTACAGTGGCATAATGTGCACCTCTGCCTACCCCTTCGGGGGTAAAAGGCGTGATGTTATGTTATGTTATGATTCACTCGCAGAAATCGGCAACATTGTTACTAGAGGAAATAATATTGTGGATCACATCTCATTAAAAAACATTTGATGTTCAACACCATATAGCTTACTTAATACGTATAGGTTTAATCTCACCCGTTTTCAGTATCTTACATTCATGGTGATCAATAAAATGGACACAAACTGGGGGGTGGACGCGAATAGGCGCATGTACCTCACTTTGTATTATGATTAGAGTTGTCTGTCCGTATGTTTATATGAAGCGAGTAAATCAACGTATAATATTATGTAAGATGTAACTAAATACAAACATCATTGATGAAAGATCTATGTATACACGTTGTACAAGCTATACAAAACCAGTTTATCGTGACCTCACTTTGTATGATTGTTCCGCACATTCGACGTTCAGTTTATACTGGTTTTGCATAGATTGATGTGTACCGTGCTTACAATAACATTGCCAGATCATATTATGTAGGTATAATATGATAATACCCTGTTTTCGAATAACGTGGGTAAATAATAACTGTAATGTTTCCTTGAGAGATTGTGCGGTTGGGTAAAGAGTTAATATTTTTTCAGCATTTTTTAAGAAATAAGTATGCTGTTTAACGCTAAAAACACGTGACGTCACAATACACTATCTCGTACAATATTCATAGACAACTGTCGTTTTTGAAAGGTTCGAAAAAAGTATTGAATTTGACTAGTTGGCACGTACCCAGTTATTCACATAAAAAAAGGAAACAATTAAAATGTGAATCCGGATTTTATAATTCATTGTCTTTTGTTATTTTGCTATCTCGAAATTTTAGAGGTCACAATAAGTAAGGAGATGTTGTTCTGTTGACATATCATTACCGAATTGATTACATCATATATAAGTATATAAGTAGATATAAGTAGTCTCCATTGGAAATAGGGTCTATAATGTATATGTTGGTCATAAAATCAATTAATGAAAATGTGATTATTTTTTAATATTTCATTTTATTGAACAGTTTTACGGTTTTGATTTAGGAAATTATCCAATTATATCAACAATCCAAAGTTAAATGTACCAGACAGCCGATATAATTACCTGTGGACAGTTTAAAAATGGCATTTACACGCTACTTAAATTAAAAATAGAAGACTCGATGTAGTTATATGAGTTTGACATAAATTTTGACATAAGTTGTCAATCCTATACATTGATTATGTATGTTTCATTCGACAAGCGTTTAAATGCTATTTTGTCTAAGGAGGCTGATATAATCGGTTGCTAAGCAACGGAAGATGTTAAAATAACAGACTTATGTTTGTGTTTTCAGCTATCAAGTGTGGTGGATGTTGTCTGTCATCTATTGACAGTCGCTATTGTCACAAATGGCTTCCAGTGCGATGTCAACAATGAGAGCGTGAGTAATGTTTAATTATATTAGAGAAACTGTATTGTTTTCATATAATATTTTTTGGTATAATAATAATTTCATATAATTTTTATTTGTTCTATTCACTGCCTGTCTGCTCTTTGGCCGAGTGGTCGTAAGTGCGACTGCCGGGCAAGGGTTTCGGGTTCGATTCCCGGGCCAGGCAAAGTATTACTGGGTTTTTAAATATTCTCAGTAGTAGCACGGAGTCTGGAATTGTGCCCGGTATATTTTTTTTTTTTTTTTTTTATGGAATTGGAGGCAAACGAGCAGACGGATCACCTGATGGTAAGCGATCAGCGCCGCCCATGGACACCCGCAACACCAGAAGAGTCACAGGTGCGTTGCCGGCCTTTTAAAAAGGAGTACGCTCTTTTCTTGAAGGTTTGATGGTCGTATCGGTTCGGAAATACCGCCGACGACAGATCATTCCACAGTTTTGCTGTGCGAGGCAGGAAGCTACGTGAGAACCGCACAGTTGTGGCCTGCCAACCATCTATTTGATGGGGATGCATATGCTGTCGTGAGGGTCGATGGCGAAAAGATGCGGCAGGTATCAGGTCAAACAATTCCTCAGAGCACATGGCAATAGGCTCACCCCCTGGATATTACATGGGACTCATAACATAATTAGTGAAAAGTGGGTGTTACATTGTACAGTGGTACTTATAATGTGCACCTCTGATGGTGATGTTATGTTATGTTATGTTGTTCTATTCACTCTTAGGTTTAAGAGTAGATGCATTTTGTTTTCTAATAAAGTTTTATAACATTAATTTACTTTCGCATAATGATATTATAACTTAAATCGAACTTAACTTAATTGTTTTAATGTAATCCATGGGGCATCTAATCAGTATTTACCATGGAATAGTAAAAACTATTTACCATTATAAGATTTTAAAATTAACCCCAAACAAATAAACATAATCAATCAAAATTATGTCAAAATACAATTATTATATCAAATAAGATTATACGAAAATATCGTTATACCAAATATTAAACGTGAATTATTATTATTTTAAAAAACATGATGTGAAAGGAAGTATACCGGTCATCTATGGACAGTAACCATTATAACCAACGGGTTTGTGTGCTTGTGAACAATAAGAGCGTGTGTAACATGATGATGTTATGCCGTATTGTTTTGCCTGGAAAACAATGGAAGGTGTCTCTGTCTACAAGAGTTGGAGGCGATGGCATAATTCTTATGAGATTGTTATAAAATACTACCTCATTGTGACTGTTGGACAGGCCGATATTGAGATACTCGCTTTTTCTGATTTAAAAAAAAATCTTAGTTTATAGGGTAGTTTCCTAAATTTTATTTTAATGTCCGTCTGGTATGTAGATTAATTTTAAAGAAAAAATACGTGTATAAAGACACGTATTTTTTCTTTTCTCACAAAATTATATACTTTCGACGATATATTAATTTGAAATATCGTGTGACGTCATAGCGTGTCAGATTTTGTAGCACGTTATGACGTAACCACCTCCCACTGCTAAACTGAGCGCCATTTTATCTAAGTATTGCAACTTAATACTAGAAAATAAAAAATACGTGTCAAATATTTTTTCATTATCTAACTGACGGACTAATTAGATTTTTAATTTTGATACCCTGGAAACTACTCAATTATAGTATCCGGTGTATTACGGCTAATATGGCCATGGACGGACAGTAAGTAACCGCCAAAAATTAAATATTATATTGGATGGCATGGTAGTCTATCTCCTCGACTACCATAACAATCTTGGCCATCTTGACCGTTTCTCTCACCACTCCTAAACCACCTCTTACTTATGTCACCTATTTTAGCTTAGGGGGCCTTATAATGGAACAGAGATTGGTGTTAACATTTATGATACTATAAAAAACTAGATAAAAAATAGGGTGACCAGTGTCCAATAACATTTTTACGTTATCCTTACTGATATTATAAATCGGAAAGTGAGTTTTTTTGTTTGTTTGTTTGTTCCACTTTCACGCCGTAACTACTAAACCGATAGCTTTGAATTTTTGCAGACGTAAAGTTAGAAGTCCGGATTAAATAATAGGGTACATTTAACCCAGAAAAATTTGATATTCCCGAGGAAAAACAAAAGTATTGGTATAGATGGCGCTGGGTGTATTGATATATGTCACATAGGCTACTTTTTATTCTTTTGTAACGCGAGCGAAGCCGCGCGTAAAAGCTAGTAACGTATAAATTCTGAAAAAGTGGTAAAAAAGCGGCAGCGTCTATTAAACCAACTTCACTTAACTTTTTTACACTGATAACTGTATTCCACCACAGTGCAAGTTTTTATACATTCTTAAAAAACTGTAAAAACTAAATATAGACTTCGTAAAAAATAAATGATCGTGATTTTATTTGTAATCGTTAATAGTTAACTCGATATGTCATAAAAAGTAGTAAGTTAACTTTAAAGGTGATATCAGACTTCAGACTGTTCACTCAAATGAGTATTCACCACGGTGAATGTTTCATTTGTCATTCATCTCTCAATCTATATAAAGACGCCTTTAGTGAGATGACAAAGAATTTAACGTTTGTAATTATAACTTTCGTTAGACAAACTAAATTCATTGTTATAAAAAGTATACACAGATACTTTTGAAACGTCAACAATTAATAAATAGTTTTCCAGTCAGTCCATCAATGAAGCTAGATGTTCATTCCAAAATCCGAGCAATAAACTCCATAGTAAATCTTTAAAAAAATGTATTTTTATTCATTAGACGTTTGATATATTATACAAATAATACCTGTCCTAACAATCCTTAAAACTACCAACAAATCACATTAGATGACACACATAGGTAGTTGAAGTTTTAATAAACAAAAGAAGGTTTATTAAACATCGATACGTATTTTTATTGTTACATAAAAGGGTTATACAATAAGTATTATGATGAGATGTAAATATAAGATGACGTCATGTAGTTGAGAATAAAATGAAAAGTATATTGAAGGTGTATCTAATAGACAACAATGTAATAGACGAAAAAGCATTAAGAGCGTACCCCTTTTTAAAGGCCGGCAACACACCGGTGACACCTCTGGTGTTGCGGGTGTCCATGGGCGGTGCTGAACGCTTACCACCAGGTGATACGTATGCTCGTAGTCGTTTGCCTCCTATTCCAAAAAAAAGACAAAAAACCATCAGTAGGTCACAAGACGTTTAAGAACTGCCGACGACCTAACGGGTTACCGGGGCTCCCGCTCATGCATCATATCATGAGTACTATTATAAAAAAGTGTGTCTATTACAAAATACCACATTAAATTATAAATTCAAGTACTATCATTAAGAGAATTTAAAAAATCAAATAATGATATTTTTCACAAAATATATTTATTTTACGTAGTTAGTATCCTCCAACCAAATGGATGGTCAAACGGAAAATAGAAATTAATTCTGTTACCACAAAATTCTGCGTAATGCAGGTATGTGGGCAAATTCGAAGAAATTTTGCAATAAAACAAGTTTATCCTTGTAACTGTAAACAGCTCTTGCGCATATTAATATACCTTACAATATTAATATTCAGTTTGTAAACCAATGGCCACGTTGATGAAGAGATTGAAAGAAAGTCTCCATCATCTCAACTTGAGGTCTCCGGTTCAATGCAAAAATCTACCGACGGGTCACAGAGTCGATTTTGTGAAATGTTACTACACTAAGATTATGTTAGGTTTATCGATATATCGCCATCAACATCATCAGAAGCTGAATTACGTCCATTGGAGTCCAAACCGTTTAAATTATTATATGCAAATAAACGTTCTTATAATAATTTTACATTACATTATACATTACATTAATTTGATACAAGTCATGGTGTCGTAGTACAAAATTAAAACTCTGACCTCTGTACTAGGGAAATACCTGTATCACAGAGATCAGTGCCTTCATGTATGGTATCATTGTGAGCCTAGTATAGACTTTACATAACTAATTAATTCAAATTAAGATTATTTATTCTATTATTCTTATTCTATGTTTTTGGTTTTCTCACGTAACTGTTTGACTAGTTCTGGATCCTTTAGAATCCTGATAAGATTATTAGTGACGAAAAGTGGTACCTTTGTTGACGTAAATGGTATGATGTTACACATTTAAGCATGCCATAGAACACCTGTCGTAAACCAGTTTAATTTTAACAAAGATTTCCTCAAAAGATAAAGAAAGAATGCCTTGCAGTGCATAATAGCTGGTTATTATTGAAACATGCAATTTCCTGTCACAGCGGACATAATTAAATATAATAAAAGAACAATTATCTTTTGTCACCTTATTTATTAGTTGGTTTCCGTGTCCGATAGCACAAAACTTGACATAATTATTGTTAGTTTTTGAAGATGCATACAAAGACATATTGAACGTCTAATTTGCATGTAGTTCTGATTTGTTATACCAGAAATTATCTTCCTAAAGAGCTCACAAATCACTTATCTGCCTTACTTAAACTGTCAAACACTGCGAGGACACCGGTGACTGCAACCTATTGTTCTATAATTGTCGTGGAGAACCTAACGGGTAACCGGGGCTCCGGCTCGACGTGCAGGAGAAGGAACGGGGTGGTTTTTAGTCAGTAAGAGTTTGACACTCCCTTCCGCCTCACCCAGGTGGGAGCAGTCATACGATGATTTTCCCAACATAAAAAAAAATTGTTAAAAAAAAAATTGTTCTTTAATTGTGTCTATAATGACGGTACTCAACGAGTTAAAATTGGAATAGGATTTTTAATTATTTAGTCTAATAAAATTCTGAATTGACTATCCAGGACCTCTTTTTAGGGAGTCTAACGCTAGTAAGCAATTTGACTGTGTCAGTTTAATCGGAGAAGTACCTTGGGTACGGAAAAAAATAGGGCCTCTCACAGAATACCAGCGTAAAGTAGTAACAATGATGCATTTCAGTATATAAATGTTCCCGGTGCCATTTGATTAAGCAATCGGTCGGAAGAGGAGGGTCCCTAAAAATAATAGTGTAGTCAACAACGCACTTCTGGTGCCTCTGGTGTTGCAGTGACCATTGAATATTATGTCTAAGGCTTGTTGGTACTGATTGCAGTATGGAAAACCTTCGAAATAGAAGACCTGATTTTTCGAACACACCCTTTTTTATATTTGATGGGCCGACGTTTAACCACTATCTCACCTGGTATTAAGCGATGATGCGATCTACGATGGATCACGTCATCACATAAGCAACCTATTCACTCGGGCCTTGAAGACACCCAAGTTTTACCCTTCAGAAAATATGATTCGGGCAAAGAATTCTACTCTTTAGCAGTACGCATAAGGAAGCTTGATCCGAAGCGCTTAGTGCTCGTGGGTAAGACATCTACTATGAATCGGTGACGCTTTGCCGATTGACGATCCTTTTAAATTTAAAGCCAAAAACTTTCGAACTAACTGCATTACAAATTCCTGTATACAGTGTCTCTTTTCCTCAAAAGTCGGCGATTATGAATCATGCATTTAGCGTGTATACGAGTGTCATCCGTCAGAACCGATCATATCACCCACCACGTCACAGTTGAACTTCTATGTAAATATTCTTATCTATACAGTTTTGCATAGCGTTAAAGTATTTTTACTTTATTTACGTTGAATGCTATAGTTTTCCGTGAGTGACGAATTAGTACTTTGAGTAAATTCCTATTTCGTCTGTTACATTTATTGTCATTGGAGTTTATCCTGTTGCCAAACTACAAGAGCTACTTCAAAAATATTTAAAATGATTAATTAATATTCTAGACTAGATTAATAAATAATAATCGGTATTTCCTAGTCACGACATCGCCATAATACGAGAACTACTGTAACAAATTGGATTTTATTCTTAAGCTCGATGGCCGAGTGGTCGCAAGTGCGACTGCCGGGCAAGAGGTCTCGGCTTCGATTCCCGGATCGAGCAAAGTATCACTGGCTTTTTAAAAAATATCTCAGTAGTAGCATGGGGTCTGGATTTGTACCCGGTATATGCCAATAGACTCACCCCCTATTACATGGGACTCATAACATAAATAGTGAAAAGTGGGTGTTACATTTGACAGTGACATTGAGTGCCGTAATGTGCACCTCTGCCTATCCCTTCGGGGATGAAAAGCCATGATGTTGTGTAGTTCTTATTTTGATCTTTTTAAGCCGTATGAATGTGAAAATTCATACAGTACCTAAATCAAAATAAATGAACGGACCATCTTCTTCAAACGTCTTACGAAGACATAAAATAATTTTTGAATATGTCTAAAATCACTAATCTATTTCTTTCTCTTCAACAGCTCCAAGCGATCTCCATACCCTGGCTGGAACCGCTCCTGATTGTGTTGAACCTCGGCACCCATGGCTTCTACCCATACCCTCGCGTCTTCCGCAACCAGTACCACATCTACGTGGAACAGATGTCAGTGGCTTCTGAACCTAAGTGCTACCCCGGAATGCTGCACATCTACCTGATAGACCTTCTCAATTTCCTCATCAACCTCATCTGGCTAAGGATCGTCGTTTCTTATGTTGGGGCTGTACACAAGGTAATTTATACTTTATGTAGTTTATTGATTTACGGATTCTTATTTCGTTTGCATTTTTTGCCACGAACTTATAGCATTCGGGTAATTGCTGACCAGCACTACTGCATAATGCGTACTCACTTGATGATGAAATCGACGTAGGTACCAGCTGATCAGAATTAAGTCTAAGGTCTTAGTACGAGTTGATTTTACGTTTATAGTTATCGAAAGAAGGCCGCGTTGAACGCTCTGATTGGTTGCTTCATTGGAGCCGGCCAATCAGCGCGCCGGACGCATACTCGTACATAATCCTTCAGCGGCATTCCTTGCCGCGCCACGCAGTGATGCTTGCTATCGTAGAACTAACCGTGTCCAACATTCCGCCCTAAACTACACTTTACATTAATTGAAAATAACCGTACCGTACGTAAATAACTGAGAGAAGCTGAACAAGTTGTAAGTCACAACGGCATGATACTTTACGTATACGTACGAATACGTAATCATTTTGACATCGCATTAATATTAAATTTGTACGAACAACTGGCTGTGGTGCAACGCTTTGCGGTTTCGATCCCCGCATTTCATATATAGGGTCATATACGTCCATTCAATATTTATTTCTGAGTGTGATGTGTTTATAATTGAAACCACGACTTAGGTTAAAGTCCTATTATAGGAAATGTTAGTTACCTTGATAGAACAAAATTTGAGTATATATTCGAGACCATTGATGTGTTTAGTCGATTGGTACCAACTCAAAAGATGTTTGAACAAAACCAATTGTTGTCTTATTGGCGTTTTATTTGATCAGTAAATCTTTGAGTTTGTTATACTCAATGATGTTTACCACATTATTAAACAATGGAGAGTTATTGCCATTTTACTCTAAGTATCATTTTATTATTCGGTCATTTCTCTTAATTATGTCAGCTATTGATTTAATAGCATACAATAAAAGAAATTACAAAAAAAGAAAATTTTCCTACATCATACTAATATTATAAATGTGAAAGTTTATGAGCTGGTTGCTACTCTGTGATGAGAAAATTATTTAAAGGAACTGAATGAAAGACACAGAGGTATATTATAGACAGGCGATTAATATATAGACGGGTTTTTGTCCCGGTAACGCAAATGTAGCCGCTAGCAGAAGCCAAGCTAATAATAATAATTTGTTTATTATTTAAGAAGTATTTAAAAATGTAATTAATAGAGGATTCTTAGTAAATCTGTGGAAATAATAGTATTATTTTTGAGCCATATGTTTGTATTTGTATCAAGCCTAAGTAAACTTTGTATTTAATATTTGAACTAACAATGAATCTCACTTTTCTAAACAGAAAAACCCTGAACCCATGCGTATGTTCCTGAGCCTCTCTGTGGTCAAGCTGGTGATGCAGGCCATGTACTTCGGATACCAACCCTTCTTCTACGACGTCTACACTATCGAAACTGTCTGGTTCCTGAAGCTCACTGATATATGTAAGTAAAGCTATATTTACTGTATCATGTACTCATAAATTATCATTATTATCATTGTTAAGTAAGTGTATACCTCTAGATTGATTCAGACTTGGATGACTTCTTATTTATTTTTATTTATTTATTTATTTATCAATTCAAGTACCTACACCACACAGACAATATTATAAAGGACAACACATTACAAGCATGGGGTAGTTGTAGTCTTAGTTGACTTGACTTGCGTATTGTTTTAGTTCGGACATGTTTGCTATCACCAAAACCTTTAATAGCTGCATCTTTACTGCGTTGTTTTGGTTTTTAAACTCTATCATCCTAAGGATAAGACCTTTTTCCGAAAAAAATACCATATCACTATCTGAAACCATCCACCAACTGAAATCTTTTCGTATTTCTTAGTTCATGTGTCCATGACAGACTTTCAAACCTAATTTAATATACTGAGTTGGAATACAGTGATGACAATACAATCCTATTCAAAGATAATATGAATGTATAAACAAAATAGTATTTGAACAACCAAATATTTAACTACACATCCCAATGAATGCTCCATCTTTGCGTTTTGAATACATTTTAATTATACGCACACATTTGGTTGACACACGATTTCGATTAAATTTTGACCGTCGACACATATTAATGTATGTTACCAATGCACCTGTTTGTGTTATTTTGAATTTATTAGCCGACAGTAATTTGAATAATGCGAATATAGGCAATGATAATAATTTAATCTCGCGTATGCTGATTCACACATATCCAACTATGTAGAGAGGCAAATCGTGCACTAATTAAAATGTCCACAAAAGCAGTAGATGAAATCTTTTTAGGACTGCACACGTTTTTGGTCAACAGATGTGTTTTAAATCATATTCATATTATTAGCACCATTTTTTTTTGAGGGGAAATCATCCAATCAGTTCTCCCGCCCCAGTGACGCGAGAAGGAGTGTCAGACTCTTACTGACTAAAAACCACCCCGTTCCTACTCCTGCACTTCGGGCAACCCGTAAAGTCCTCCGCACCTCACACGCTTATTCTTAAACTCAATATTTTACTCCTACAACTTTAACAAGCTTTAAGACACTCTTATTCTGACAAAGATGGTCAGCCAAAGTGTTCAGCAAACTCAATTTCAATTGATGAATTTTTGTTTCAGTGATCGCCGTATTCTTCTTGATAATAGTGCAAAAGTATACAAAAGCCTTAAGGCTGGAGAAGGCAGCTACTCAGAACATTGAAAAGCCACCATCCTACATCGAATGCCTGATCAACGGACATGTGCGTCCACCAAGCTACGAGGTCAAAGAAGAAGTAGTCATCGTAGATGAAGAGAGAAAACAAAATATTGAAAATGCAGAAAAGTCCTGATTCGTCTAGATGTAAATAATTCAAACGCATACTTCTAGTAAACGCATGCTATTGGCTACTATAATATTAATACAAAGAACTTAGATAGAGATGAAAGTAATTTTATAAGTAATTTTATTGAAGTATTAAGCACTTATGAATTTTCAGAACCTATAAACTTGTCACAATTGATAGATGAGCCTTAAGATTTGCCTTTTGTTATGTTATATTTTTTTAAGTATTATTATATCATCAGCTTTCGTCATTTCCTATTGTATTTAGTTTAAGTTCGCCCGAAGAGGATGTCTTAGAAAATTCATCTTTAAAATTAGCAAAGTTTTTAACTATTGTTCCTGCTCTAATTTCAAGACTTATTATTATATTGGTAGTGATATTTTCTTTTCCATCTTTTTAGACATTAATAATATTGCTAAATGAGTAACTGTTAATAGTTACTTAGTTAGATTCTGCGAAATAATTCCAATTATATCGTCATATAATCTGACGCTCTCCTATTTTAATCAAATCCGGAATAAATTGGTTTTAACTGGAATAAACCGGTTCAAATCACTTTTAACCGGAGTCATCTTATACGTTCCGGTAATTATGAAATCTCGTTTAGTTCGTATTATTATTTGATTAAGATTAAGAATTGTATTCCTATCCTTATGTTAAGTTTATTTAAGTGTTCTCTTATGCTAGAATTATAGAGGTATCTATGTTTTATTGTGATCTGCACAGATCACCGTGATATTCCATTTTTCTCGATTAATTTTATTTATGAAATGAATATCGAATGAAAAATTGTATTTAGTAACGAATTTTTATTTAATAAATTTATTAGATTTACATGATTTGTTTGCTTCCTTCATCTTAGATTACATATAGGTACCTTCGTTGAGAGAGACCTTATTTATGTGATACGATGATGTTTCTACCTTTAACATAAATCCAGGCGCCGTGCTTGTACTACATTTTTTTTAATCTGAATGAGTCCTGTGAATCCCACATGAGTCCTCTTGCTGAGAAGCCGTACTTGAAACCAATGTAGGTCTAAATACCCACTGAAACTAAATACATTGAAATTTTCTCTGTGAACTCTATAATCGGTATAATCGATTCATTCGTTTGATTATGGAACAATCGATTACAGTTACGGGTCACGATAATAATGGAATGTAATCTACATGCTATGCCGAGTATCGAGTTACGGCAATTACTCCTCTTGAAATCGATAAAGCACAATAGCCAGGTGAATTTCAATCGAGTCTTGAAGTATTTACAATAGGGTAGATGCCTAATTTTAATTTTAATGTCCATCTGGTAGATTATTTTCTTACAGAAACGAATACTTCCGACGATATATTGATTTGAAATGTCGCTTGACGTCACTTCTATGTACATTTTATACGTAGAAATGACGTTTTAGCCACTCCTGAACTTTGATTCGTTATATCTAAGTATTATTTTATCATACAACAAAATATAAAAATACGTGTCTAATATTTTTTACGACTTTTCTTTGTATAGGTATACTTAGGCAATCCACAAAATGTGCTGGTGCTGGTACGTGTCATGTTCGTGAACGGCTGCCGTCAACTGGGACTGGTCAGCTCCAGACTGTATTATTGTCCTTAAGGTTATTTTCTTTTTTGATCACTTTGACTGGATTTAAGTGTTACATTGTTCTTGCACAATCCAAACAGCAAAACTACATATGTAACTAGTAAATTGTATTGTGAACCTGATTGAAAAAGAGTAACCTATGGAGTTTCTTGCTCGTTCTTCTCCATAGGAGGAATCTACACCTTGGAATGAGCAAATAGCTTCACATTAAATTTTTTTTTTGTTGACGTTCAAAAGTTCCATTCTGGCCTAATTGAAATAAATGATTTTGACTTTGAATGTAGTTTTCTAGTCTGACTTTGTGTTTGTACCTACGACACAAGTGTAAATCCTTGTATAGAACCATGTATAGTTATAAAATCACAAAGTCAAAGCATTTGTTTCAATTATTCCTTGTACAAACGCTTTTCAAACGTCAACACTGCATTGTCTGTCAGTCTGACCGTCCGAAACTACCGAAGCTAGATGCTCGGTGCACAATTCTAAACTTTAGTACCATTTTAAGAGACATTTTTAATGTTTTTCTAATAATTATCGTGAGACATAGGTACTAATTTTTTTTTAATTTTTTTTTTATTAAAAAATCTTTGCCCTTTATTAGGATTTTCTCCTGTGTCGTGGGTGCGTTTACAAACATACAAGTTTACATACACAATGAGACCCAGACCCAAAACAACAATTTGTGGATCACACTAGTGTTGTTCCGTGCGGGAATCGAACCTGCAACACGTTGCATGGCAGCCGGTTGGCCAACAGCTTGCTGCTCGCTGGGCTTGCCCGGCTAGAGCGCGGCCAATGGCGGGGCATACCACCGGACTCGACACCACATCGGGCCCCGCAAGGTGCCCGACTAACCCAACCCCTCGCCTGCTGTAGCAGGCAGCGAATGAGACCGCCGAAACAGGCATCGGCCTGGATCGCGCGACCTCGCGCCCCCAGCCGGGGACGCAGAGATGACCCGAAGACGGCCGGTTGGCCAGCCACCGCACCAACCGTGCAGTCTAGTAATTTAACTAAAAATGGCTAGTGCTATCACTGATTTCTAAATGAAAAACTTTCTATACTTTTTCCCGATCCATACCAAATTAACCTGCCGCGGAGAACTTAACAGGTTGTCAGGGCTCTGGCTCGACGTGCAGGAGTAGGAACGAGGTGGTTTTTAGTCAGTAAGACTAATACTCCTTCCCGCCTCACCCAGACGAGAGAAGAAGTCATTCGACGATTTTCCCCCCTTAAAAAAAACCGGATTAACCTCTCATCTGCCGACATATGAGACACAATAGAAAACACATTGTGTCTCGCGTATATCTACGTTCGATATCATGGGTTAATATACATATACTCACCACTAAACAAAACTTAATTATAAATCCAACTTCAAATCCACAAACATTAAGCCTGAATCATGGCCAAAGTATTTGCCAAAGAGGAAATCTGCTTTAATTCTATTTACAAAGCATTATTACCTGTTGGGTTCTGTCCAAGAGTAGTGCAAGTTCAGCTAAATCTCTGATTTAAATGAGATGTGCTTATGGCAGTGGGGATGGGGGATGCTACGTTTTAATATTCCTCTGACTTACTGTTATGACCTTAGTAGGAGGTTTGGGATTAAAATTAAGGAGTGGGAGTTTATTAGCTGTTTGTCAACTGTCTAGCCGCTGTACTCAGAGTCATGAGTACGGCGTTTATGGTATCGGAGACATATCTAGTGAAGCCTGTCGATTTTGCCCGACATTATTATAAGGTGACAACGCGCGCCATGTCGACAGCGACGTTGAAACCAATCTCAATGTCAATGCAATTGCAATCCAATGAAAACTCAATAATTATTCAATGTCAAAACTATACAACCCCTATCGCAGCTATTAAAATAGCATTCAGAGTACGGAATATAAAACCAAACTCAATACCATTTAGTTCATTTACTACCGATACAATGGGCGCTAGTGTTTAACTCAAGAGTACGAAATATCACAATATCAATATCGATCCATCGGAATTGGATTCAAGAGTAAGCCCACTGGTAACATCGCGCCACTTTACCCGACGTCGCTGGCGACTCTTGTCGCAGGTCATTTCGCCACTTGTATCCTTGGCTTTACCTTAGCGTTTGTATTTGGAATAAAATCGTTACAAAGGAATAGTTTAAGTCATCATTAAATGTTTTTCCGGTCGGCTGCAGTATGGGGTTCTTCAAGAAAGAAGTAAATAGGTTTATATCCCCAAGCGGTCACCGGTGGCCGCTCTCCACTAACTACATTGTAGACCTTATTTCCAATGTTTAGAGACTACTTTTGTATGAACAAATTTAGGGGATGAATTTCAACAATTTTTAACAGGTTAAGGGTCGGCAAGGTGCATGTAATGCCCCAATTGTTGTAAGCGTCCTTACATAGGCCACGGTAACCGCTTGCCATCAGGTGGGCCATGCGCTTTTTTGCCATCGTCGTGGTATCCAAAAACTTTCTCTGAGTACGACAGTTAATGTCTTTCCACCATTTTGTCTTTGGTTTGAGGTGATCTGCTGTGCAGTCTGGGTTTTTGCAAGCATATATTGGCTACAGAAAAGAAAAAAGGTGTGGGGTGATTATGTCTCATTAAAAAGAAAGTTTCTTTCAATTACATAAATGGGCAAAAGCTTTCCTAAATAAGGAGTGCTGGAATACCCTAAGTACCTTCTTCATAAACTCTTTCATTAAAAATTAGTTTCATTCAACAATAAATAATTTAGCACGTACTGAAAGGAAACACAACTCCATATCTCCGTTAAGTTTTTCAAAAGTTAAAGTACCCTTTAATTTAATAACCCCAAAAAAAACAGCAAAAATCTAAAACCATAAATCTTAAAAATACCACCAACGAGGAAAGCCGCCAAATTATACCATACCGTTAGTAATATAGACACAACAAGTTATACAAAACCAGTATAAAATGACCGCTGACTGTACCGAAAGACTATATAAAGCGAGTCCATGTTAAAGTGGATTGTATGGCTTGATGTGAAGCCGTGTACCTGGAATCTATCCAAGGTGAATTCCAGTGGATTTCGCGGCAAGCTCAGGCATTTCATAACGCTCCCGTATTAATTTCTATTCCCTACACTGTTTCTGAAAGGTAGACTAAGCGAAATGTCTGTAAACTGTAAACAACCTGAAATTATAAAGAGGTACTTCGCATCTTAGATATTTGGGGATGTTTTCAAAGAGGGTTGTTCAATTAATTTCAAAGGGATCCTTGTGCATTGATGTTGTAATTATGGCTTAATGCTTTAGTTGTAGCTACGTATTGTTTGGGATGTAGCGTGGATTTTGAATGTACAGGATTTGTTTCTTGATTACAAATAGTATGTTTATATTGTGAGCGAAATCTCATCAATATTTTTGGTTTTAACTATA